GAAGGGAAGGAGAATGCAATCAGTTTTATTGGGAGGTACGCAGGGAGGGCTGTGCGCGTCACTTCATGGGGTATCCATTGTGTTGGCCGCAGTATCACCTGCACAGCCTGGGGGACTTTTAGAAAGTTTCTCCCATGCCCCTCCTTCAGCAGTTGCCATGTTGATGCTCTCCCTAAACAACTCCCCAAGTGGATGAAATCTTGAAGCTCCCCCAAGGAACATAGGTAGTTGGCCCAGCAGTTGTTCTATGTCCCTAGTCTGACCTTGATGAGAGAATCTTTGGGAGGATTCATTTCATGAAGCAGGAGAAAGATCACCTGGTGGGTTAGAAACGGCTGATCATTTCTCCTTGCCCTTCAAACATTCCAAACAAAATCCAAAATCACTGCCGTCGAGTTGCTTCTGACTCACAGACAGGTCTGTTCTATAGGACCGAATAGGACTAACTGCTGCTGTGGGTTTTGAGGCTGCAAGTCATTAAGGGCACAGAGCATTTTTCTACCGTGGAGTGACTGGTGGGTTTGAACCACTGACCTAGTGGCTAGGAGCCCAACACGCAGACCACTACGCCCGCCCGCTCCCAGAGAGCTCACATGGTCTTAATTTCCTGTGTACTTGCTGTGAAGTACTGTAAATATCGCCTTTCCAATCAGAGGACTAATATAAATCCCAGAGATTCTGGGGACATGATTTTCTTTTGTAAAAGACCATGCATGCTTATTGACTGCATCTCTCTGTCTCTCTGCTTCTTTGCCATCTCCAGTGATTTACAGGGGGAAGAGAAATGCAGAATGATGCGGTGAGCCTTGGATCAAAAGGGAGAACCTAAACAAGCGCTTGACAAGTGAGTAATTCTAATCGAACTCGTGTGATTCAACAGGGAAAGAATGACATGTGCTGACTCTTCTCCCTCTTTTGCAGCGCTGTCTCCATCGTTAGTGCTTAGAGCTGGAAGCGAGCAGAATACAAAAAGCCTCTAGTATAGAAAGAAAATGCCATTGGCTATTAGAAGAACAGCTCGACTCCACTGCGAGAGGTCAAGGACAAAGACAAGGACAAGGGTGTCCACTCTCCAAGATCTGCAGCGATCACAGCTCTAGAGAGAAATGCACCCAGAAACCCCAAAATGTGCCCTGGAATATTGCAGCGTGAGTGAGCCCATAGTGACTTCGCCAGAGAGGTGTAGGCTTGTGGAACGACACCAGAATGACTGTCTATAAAATCTTTGTGTAGTTTTGACACAGGAATTTATGTTTGTTGGCTTGTTTTACAAGAAGATCCCTGTAGTTATACCACGAACATTTTCCCTAAACCTGCACGTGTAGCAATATGCCTATTGATACGCTCTATCCAGTCTCGGGAACCCACGGGGGCCGTTAGACTCTGTCCAATAGGCTCCCCGGGAGTTTGGTTTGAGGTTTGTGCTCATTGGAGCTGTCCGCAGGACCCAATGCCCAGGATGCTTCTAGTCCCGCGGTTGCATGGTGCGCGTGCACCCCCAGCCAGGGCCCTTGTCTTCACTGGTGTTTTGTCTCCCTGTCATCTGGGCAAAGGTTTGCAGAGCAGATTGGCTGGCTTTCTGCTGGACAACTCCTACCCATGTTGCTTTGCCACATGGGCTGTGACCCCCACAATGGAGACGCATTCTTCTCCCTTCCTCGCCGTTTCCCATTTCCCGCTGCCCAGCCCTCTTATCTCGCCCTGCTTCCACCCTGAGCAAATGCTGTCCTTTGGATGATTGTTTCGCCAGTGTTTTTATAGCCGCTGATTTCGTCGAATTTGCTGGTGCTTTAGCAACAATACTGTGGTCAGCAGTACCGTGAGCCACGACCTTTTGATAATGAAGTAGTCGTTAAAAGGCTTCTGTTGTTACTCATAATATAACTAGCAGTGTAATTCAAGGTAGAAGGAACTGGCAGAACAATTTTTTGGTTGCAGATATTTGTAAAAAGCATGTGGGCACACCCTCTGACCCCCTTGGTCTTCACAAGGGGAGGGAGAAGCACTCGCATCAGCTGCCCAGGCCGATTCCTAGGAGGCTGAGGTCAGACGTGCCTCCGTCCTCACCCTTCCTTACCAGTCCGACACCAGCCGAGGACGCTCCCGCAGCACGGCCTCCTCTGAGCTGTGTGAGCGGATTCACTGCAATGGCCACACAGAGCTCACAGGCGACACTCGTGGTCGGGGAGCTGATCAGGGGAGCTGCAGTCTTGGAAACCCACAGGAGCGGTTCAACCCCGTCCCATAGGGTTGCTATGCGTTGGAATGGGCTCTTTCACTGCGATTTTGTTTTCTTCTTTTTAAAAAGCTTCATGTGAGATGTGTTCAGCATATCGTTCTTTTGGCCTCCCCTCGGCTGTGCTCTGTGGTCCTGACCTCTCAGCTACGAGGTCCTACAGCCTGTGCCCTGCTCAGGCTATGTTACAATGCCATTTTCATGCTGCCCATCACTACCCCAAAGCACCTGACCCCACCATACACCTCAACCTGACAGTGGCTCTAGCTCAGTGGATTAGCAAACCTAGCTCCTCCGATTAAGTACCTAGAGGCACCCCACTCCGTAAGTAAGCCTCCTGCCCAAAGGCAGTCAGCTCTATTCTCTGTGGACTAGGAAGTCCACCCTTCTGTCTCGTGCTCTGGCCCTTGGTTCTCTTGCCGGCCACCTCCTACCCCCCACCCCTGCTCCCCTGCTCTTACAGTTTCTGCCCCTGGACCGAGGAGGTTGAACGCACAGGGATTTGGGGTCCAAAGGACACACTTCACTCCTGAGTCCGTCATTCTGCACGGGTGTGATGGTCTCCCCTTCCTGCTCCCAAAGTCGCTCATTGTATCCCTAGCAGGATGTCAAAATGGCCCAACTCCCATCTTGGACTTCCATGATTTTATCGTCACAATGAAATCATATAATTCTGTTAGCATCTCCCCCCATGTTCTCTGACTGAGACCCATCAGGAAAAAGTCATTTGGCAGACGCGACAAAGACTATGGCTAGAAGAGTCATATTAAGTAATCAATTGCACTACCCAAACCAAACTAAACTCCCTGCCGCCAAGTCTATTGCACCCCATGCTGACACTGCAGGACAGGCTAGAACCGCCCCTGTGGGTTCCTGAGACTGACTCTTTACAGGAGTAGAAAGACTCCTCTTTCCCCCCTCGGAGCAGCAGGTGGTTTCAAACTGCCGACCTTGCAGTTAGCAGCCCAACGCATTACTACTGTGCCACCAGGGCTCCTACGCATTGTACTAAAGTACTGATAGAATCTAAGAAATATAGCATGTAAGCAATTTATACGGATATTCTAATTATTCTGGGGATTAAAGTGGATACTAACCATTGCTCAGGATTCTGTGTGGTCTGGTGCTGGAGGTGGTGTGGATTGCTGGGGGGGGGGGCACTCATGACTCTATGAGTTAGTGCAGTCGGCAAACCAACCCTCAGGACTCCACGGAGCCGGCACACAGGCAAAGTCCTGCAAACATGGAAAGAGAGCTTTGCAGAAATTCTGCCTGAGATGTCACAGACACACGATTGGTTCGGCACACCCAGCTTCATGAGAGTGCTTCACGGACACCAGTCCTTGCCCTGGAGCCTGCCAAGCACTCAGGCCTGGGCACGGTCACTCCTGAAGAAGCCAAGCTGCCCACACAAAGCCAGTGCTCGTCTTGTCACAGGCCTCCTCTTGGTTTTCAGGAACGCTTGGGCGGCGGCGCGGCGGCTGGGCGCTCTGTGGTGACAAATGCCTTCCTCTCACGGGAGCAGAGAAACCGAGCTGCTCACAGGGTTTGCATAGCCAGTCTCGGGGGGACAGTCTGGGCGGCAGAGCTGCCGGCATAGGAGCACAGACCTGAGCTGGGGGGGTAGCCATGGACAACCTACAACGGAGGCAGATGGGCATACCTGCAGCCGGTGCCGGGAGCATCTTCGATCATCTTGGTGGAAGTGCCCACCTCGATGGTAATTGCTGTTTTTATCTTGGAACAGGAAAAGCAATGATCTATTACATAACCCATTGTACCGAGAAAAATACCGTTCTAATGCTGGGAAACTTACCTTAAAAATAGTGCCGATTAGACTTGTGTGCGCACACACAAACAGAGAGAGGAAAAGAGAGAGAGAGAGAGAGAGAGAGGAGTAAGTAATATGTTTACTACTCAGAGGTCTCTCTGGGAAGCCAAGAAGGTCTGAAGTTAAGAGCAACTGTAAAATGCTGCCCAGACAGAATTGGAGAATGAATTCAGGCATGGGGTAAGCATGGGAGAGGGGTGCACTTATCTTTCTATGTCTCCTTTCCTCTTTTCCTCTTCTGGGCTAACTCCCCGCTATCAAATTTGCTCCAGAGCAGAATGCAAGCTATTGACTGTGTGAGAGTGGTAAGAGGCCCTCATTGCCTGGAGGCGTTGCACTCAAGGAGGAGAAACTCGCTGCTCTCCAGTCAATTCTGACTCCGATGTCCCTGCAGGGTGGAGAAGGACCCCTCCCCAGCATTTCTGAGGCTGGGTATCTTTATGGAAGCAAACAACTGCATCTTTCTCCTGCCAAGCGGCTGGTGGGTTTGAACCACTGACCTTTCAGTTAGCAGCAAAGGCATACGTCTCTAAAACTAGAGTTGGATACATCACAGAGTATACACAGGGGAGGTTTGAATTTAGTTCATTTTGGGTCCCACACATCAGTGAGTGGACAGGAATTGGGGCAGGTGCATAAACAGCTCTTGGGAAACTCATAACTTACCTAGGTTCTCAGGTACCACCCCTGGGGTGTGGCATTCAGCAGGTGTGGGGCCAGGCCTGGGAATATGTATTTTTAACAAGTTCATCAAGTAACATTGCATGTCCAGGGTTAGACACTGTAAAAGGTTTGCCTGAGTGAGCTTTTTCGGGAGGCTGAGGAGACAGAAGACTGTGTGTGGCCCATGAGGAATGACTGGGGAGGTCATCTGGGGGGTTCAGAGCAGGCTTCACTGGTCTCCGAGCCCCACCAGGACAATCATGGTGGTCTGAACCAGCGGTCTGCAAATATTTGAGGTGGAAGAGCCAATCCTGTCCCTCACAACAATTTAAAAATTATTTGAGAGCCATAAATATATTTATACAAACAAAGAAATCACCATTATCTGAATAATATCCTTTAAGATTTTCTATTTGACTTCAGAGCCATGTGTACATACCGAAGGAGCTGTATATGGCTCAAGAGCCGCAGTTTGCCGACCTCAGGCTAGACCAGAGTTAGGGTTCTAAGCTGTGGCCCAGGGTCCACATGAGGCTGTGTGCTGAGCCCAATTTCTGACAGGGTGTAACCACTGAAGAGATTTGTGTCCAAAGCTGTGTGGAACAGTACAAGAGTGTGTTAGTCTGCGTAGACTAGAGAAACAAATTTCTTGGCCCCTCCTATGTGTGTAAGAAAGAGCTTTATATACAAGAGTAATTGTACATTGAGAAAATATCCCAGCCCAGTCCAGATCAAGTCTATAAGTCCAATATTAGCCCATATGTCTGACACCAATCTGTAAAGTCCTCTTCAGACTCACGAAACACATGCAATGAAGCCAAATGCAGGATGATCACAAGCCAGTGGGTAGAAAGTCTTTGGGTCCAGTGGCATTGTAAGCATCTCAGTGCTGGCAGGGGTCTCTCTGTGGCTTCTCTGGCTTCCGAGGTCTGGTTGAGTCGATGTGACTTGTCTTCTGCAATGTCTCCCAGGGAGTGGCAGAGAGAGAGAGAGTCTCTCCTGCCTCCAAGAAGGAATTACCAGATTTCCCAGAATTCTCAGGAGAAGGCTATGCCCACACAGAAGTCTCATTGGCTATCTCCAGATTGACAGGCTAGACTCGAC